GTGCTTACTTGTTGAGCTGTAGGGCTGGCTGAAACTATTTATTTTTAAAAAGCTTTGGGACTAGCAGTTGGCATAATGGCTATGTCGCTGGACACACACATAGTTGACCGCAGTTCGAGTCCCAGACCCCATGGCTTAAACTCATGTTGGGCGAGTGTGTGTGCGTGCCCAATATCCCAAGAGGAGAATGGAGGAGAAGGGATTGCGGCATGATCATCTCCCTGGGGAGGTGATTTCTCAGTTTCTGTCTCTCTGACCCTCTCACTCTCTGTCTTTCTGGTGAGCACATGTGCCCTATAACAAAAACCTCTCCAAAAAAAAAAAAAAAAAGCTTTGAATGCTGTATCCTTCAATGAGTTTTGACCATTTCATCTATGTTACCAAATGCTTTAAAAAGTTTATGTTTTTCTTCCAGGAGTGAAAGAAACAGAGAGGGGGACAGAGAGAGAGAGACAAAGATACAGCACTCCCAATAGTGTGCTGATGCTGAGATCTGCCCCTCTGCTAGCTTCGGATCAAGGCTACGCGTGTACCTGACGTCCTCGGGGAGGGTGATAGGCTCACCCCAGTGGACCGAGACTTAGGTTAGGTCTGGTACTGAGTGGAGGCGTCCCGTGTGGCCCTGGCCTGTGGGGCCCGGCATCTCAGTAGCCCACGTCATGTTGACGGTGCCTGTGTCTTCTTCATTGATTAGCATTAGAGGTACTAATTTTTCTCTAAAGACTGCATTTGCTGCCTACCAAATTTTGGCATGCTGTAAATTTGCCAGAGGGTGCATGTGTTTGCAAGGGGAACAGAGAGAGAGAGAGAGAGAGGGAGAGAGAGAGAAAACACTCTTATGCCATAAACCCTTCCTCATCTCTCCCTGCTTTTGAAATTTTGGGGCATGTACACACATGTGCCCAGCATATTTTGCAAGCCACTGAGTCTGGGACTCAAATCCTGTAGCCAGCCATGTGAGATCCAGTCACCTTAACCCCTAGACTGCAGGCTGGCCCAGTATATTGTACTTTTATCATCATCTAGTCAAAATATTCTCTAATTTCTTTATGCACTTCCTTTTCTGCCAAAGAACTACTTAGAAACATGTTTGATCTCCAAATATTTGGTATTAAAATATTACGGTTAATGTCCAACTTAATTCTGTTTAGGTTGAGGATATCTTTTGTATGACTTCAGTTGTGTAGTTTTTTGAGACTTGTTTTGTGGCCTATAATGTGGTCAAACGAAGTGATTATACCATGAGTGTTTGAAAAGAATGTGTATTCTGCAGATGCTGGTTAACTGTCAGTAAACATCAACTAGGCCAATGTAGTTAATAGTATATTTACAGTTGCATAAAAAGATGATTTGGTTCCAAAGTCAAATCTATAAAATGAGGTATATTTATAGGCATCTTATTTTATTCCTGTCCCATTTTATACTTTCAGTTTTGAAATTACAAGCACAAAAAAAAAAACCTACACACACACACACACACACTTTCAGTTTTGAAATTATAAGCACAAAAAAAACCCTAAACACACACACACACCGCACACACGCACACACGCATTCCTCCAGCCTGTCTTACGTAAGTGGTAGTGTGCTATCTGCATTTTCATCTCTCTGTTTCTGTCACTTGACGATGTATCGTGGAGAGCACGATATGATAGTTTATGAGCTATTCCACACTCTCTTTTTAAGATTTTTATTATACTTCATTTTGTGTATAGAGCAGTTTAGTGAATCAATCCCCTGTGAATGAATATTTGGGTTAATTCTGAAAGTTTTGCTATTACGAACACGATTGTAATGCACAGCCTTGTGCATATTTTCTTTTCATACCCTGCCTGTGTATGTTTGGGATACATTCCGAGAAGCAGAACTGCTGGGTTAAAAGGAAACTGCATGCGTAACTTTGCTATATTGCCAAATTTCCCTCCATCCAGGTTGCAACATCTTTCATTCCTATTGGCAGTTTAGAGGCATGCCTATCTCCCCACAGTCTCACCAGGGATTTAAAGCAGGATGGTGGTGGGGGCCCCATGGGACTAAAGCACGGGAGGGCAGAACAAGTAGGGAGAGTGAGTCCAAGTTCATTCCAGGGAGAATTTCACTAGACAACTGCTGTGCTAATTTTGTTTTTCATTCATAATGTATGTGCTCATTGGCAACTGCAACCCAAATATGACCTGAAGAATGTGAAAATATGTGATTGTAACTAGGATTCAGATCTATTGGTGTGTATTTCTCCCTACCATGCATCTCTTTTCAGAAGTGGAAGGTGCTGTTCAACAAAGTAACTCATTAATGTCACAAACAAGGAAGGACAACAGCACTTTAGGTAACATTTCTTTCTTTTCTTTACCTTTTAAAAAAGTATTTGCCATAGGGCATATGCGCTTTCCAGGGAGAGAGACAGAGACAGTTGAGAGGGAAATTGAGAAATCATCCTCCTCAGGGGATGGCCATGCAACCATCTCTTCTTCCTCCATTCTTCTCCTGGGATTTTGGGCACACATCCATGCATGCCTGGGATGAATTCCAAGCCACCATATCTGGGACTTGAACCATGATCAGCCATGTGGTAATCCAGTGCCTTAACCACCATGCTACCTGCTGGCTCCAGGTAGCATTTCTTTGAATGATTATGGCCATACAGTCTTTTTAATGACAGAAAGAGAGATATTTTTCATAGGGTCTTGTGTATTCCAGTCCTTCTACCCCAGCCTCCCAGTTAGCCAGGATTATGGGTTTGTACCACCAGGTATTCAGCCTGTTTAGGTTAGTCTGGGAGCTGAACGTGGTCCTTCCATATGGCCCCAGCCTTGTGCAATGACACCTTATTGCTTTCACCACCACAAGTGGATCACATATATTTTTTACATTTTAGGAGCTTGAATTAGTTATGTGTAATTATAGACTGTATTATCTAAATGATATTATATTTAAGGATATTGGTAAAATTTTCATTCCCATATACCCTCTTCCTCTACGAATACAAAATTTCCCCCATTATCGACATTCTGTACTAGAGTGGTATATCTGTTACAATTGATGAATTTACATTGACACATCATTATTATCACCCAAAGTCTGTAGATTGCATTAGCGTTCACCCTTGGTGTTAGATATTTATGGGTTTCAACAAATGTACAATGACATGTGTCAATTGTTCTGTAATAGCATCGCACTGTGCAGTTTCACTGCCCTAAAAATCCTCTAGGTTTCACTTTCTTGGTTTCCCTCCTTCTAGCCCTTGGAAATTTCTGATATTTCACTGTTCCTATAGTTTTGCCTCTTCCAGAGTGTTATGTAGTTAAAAGAGTTGAATATGTAGCCTTGTCAGATTGACTTCTCTCACTTAATAATATGCATTTAAGGCTCCTCCATGTCTTGATAGCTCATTTCCTTTTAGTACATGATGTTCCATTGGCTGAATGTACATAGGTTAATTATCTATTGCCTGCTAAAGGACACCTTAACCCTAACCCTAACTCTAACTCTTAACTTCCTGAAGATACATGTATATTTTGTGTATTATGTAAAGTGTGTATTATGAAACTACTATACATGAATTTCAATTTTTTGCACCAGAATAAACTCTTACTAAATTCCTTTTTCTGTGAACTTTTTGAAGTACATGTACATCAACACACATAATCATTTTCATTTCTGTTATAATGATTTTGAATAAACTACTGTCTGTTAAATTAATTAAGAATAAGAAAGATACATTTTATTTGACTTTTCTTTTTTTTCTCCAACATTCTGCCTTTCCACAGATAGTTTCTAAGTTTCTGACCTATGTCATTTTCCTTCTCTGTAAAGAACTTCTCTTAACATTTCACATTGTCTTCCCAGGTAGGTTTATTGGCAACAAATTTCCCTCATTTTTGAAAATCTTTGTTGTCTTGCACTTCTGAAGCATAATCATGTAGTATATGAAATTCTAGGTTGCTGATTTTTTCCCTGTTAACATTAAGTATTTCCTTTACTCCTTCTTGCTAGCATGGTTTCTGAGAAGTTGGGTATACTATTATTTTTTACTTCTTTTTAGGTAAGATTTTTTCACCCCTCTGGAAAATATTTTTTCTCTTTTTTGAGTTTTTGTAGTTTGAAAATGATATTCTTAGGTATAGCTTTTTTAGCAGTTATTTTGTTTGGTGTTTTCTGAGCTTTCTGGATCTGTGGTTTTGGTGTCTGATGTTAATTAGGGAAAAATCTTAGGCATTATTTCTTTCCTTTTCTTCCTTTCTTTTTCTTCCTTTCATTCTCTTTCTTTCTCTCTTTCTCTTTTTTTTCTTTTTTCTTTCTTTTTCTTTTTCACTACATTCAATGGCTTTTCTGAAACAGAGTTTGAAGTAGATTTTGACTACCCTGATTGTAAAAACTCTATGGAATTCTGACAAAAGAATGCATGTGACTGTCAGGAACTGTAGAATTAGAAGATGAACTAGGTGAAGACTCTCATCTAAAGTCCTCTCTCTGTTTCTGCTTCATTTCCCCCATTTTTCTTTTATAAGCCGGGAAAAATAGGGGAGGAGGAGAGGTATATGAACTCTTCTCAGTCCTGATTCTAAAATTCTTGAGAAAGGACTTTGTCCATCTGAGTTAGGTGCCCACCACTGGACCCAACTTCAATTTGGAGGAGGCATATAGAGAAAGGATTATAATCAGACCAGCTGATTTAAGGTGACCACACTGGACCAATCCATTGTGGCTAGAGAAAGAGGATGGAATGGAAGCAGGATTACATTATACACAATTGTTAACAAAATAAGGTGTTTCCTAAATGAGAAATCATCAGTTAGTAGCTTATCTTTAAGATGCTATCTTTAAGATGTTAACATGTTTTTTCCTTTTATGATGGCATAACTATAATTTCCATTTTGTATCATTTTAGTTATGGCTAACCGATTGTTATATTGAATAAACCTTTGTGAAAAAAATGACTTCCACTCTATTTCAATATATCACATTGATTTTATTTACTCTTGTTTATAATTTTCAGCTTTAAATGGTTCCAGAATGGATGGAAAGGAGAAGATACTGAATAATTCAGTACCTCCAGCAGAAGGTAATATGCTCCTTATCTAGTGGCCAGCATTGAGGGACTGGAGATTTGGACTTTGTTAGAAACATTAGCTGATGGCCTAGCTGAAGGCCAGCCTTGTCTAGTCAAAGACTATGGTGAGTACTGAAGCAGAATGGACTCTGAATGACCCGACCACTAGCTGTTCACAAGCCTCATTCTTGCTTGCCTTTAAACCTTTGTCATGTTGAAGCAATGGAAGGAGTGAGGATTTAACTGCCTCTCAGATCTGAATTAAAGTATTACCTCTTTCTTCATCTAGTTATGTGATCTTTATTTGGCCATGAAATGTGAGGGCATGAGTACCACAGAAGAAATAGGTGAAACAACCCAGGAGAGAAAAAAGATTACATGCAGAGTTTGGCAAAAACAAACTTCATCCATGTGAAAAGTTTGCCAACCTTAACTGGTTCTGCTCGTGTTAAAATGGCACCATTGACACTTACCTCTGTTATAGGTGAATTGTAACAGATACTGTGGTTGACCAGTTACTTCTCAGCAAACCCCTATTAGGACACATTATGTTAGTTTACGGGAAGCATGAGATTCTATGTTAGAGTGTGTTTGTAGGTTCCAAGTCTTAATTTTTATTTTAGAAGATGAACAAAAAGGGTCAACTTTTATATTTAAACCTGATAATTAGTTTGAACATAAACACAATCTGTGAGCAAATTTTACAGCTAAACTGTTTCAGAGTATACATATGAGTAGTCAACCAAAGGCTATATTTGATAATATCACACCCTGATGGAACTTGACTCTATGGTCTGTAAGCAATGAGGAGTGAAAGGAGCAGATCCTGAGGAGAATAGATTGTGTCATTCATGGCAATTTCCTTATGAAAGTCATTACAATTTCTTCAGGTGAAATATGGTCAACCTTTTCAGATGCAGATGAAAGGATGGCTTCTAGGGGAAAAAATAAAAGCAAAAATTAGGGATTTGATGTCCTCAGTTTCAGTGGGATCTGATCATATGTCCCCATGTAATTTTTCAGGATCCCATTGCTTCCCAATCAATAACCTCACTAAAACAGAAGACACCCTACAAGGTCAGGAATTCAGTTTGTAATTCATCCACTTGCAGGATAAGGTTTAGTTATGAGAAATATCAGCACTAATGTCACAATAATTTCTCTTAGGATAGACATAGAAAATTTTAGGACATTTATGTGGAACTTAAGGTGGAAATTCAAAGTCCTGGACTCATCCATTCCTGCCCTCTCCCCATTTTGTCCATTGTAGTTAGGCAAAACCAGCCAATCTTATACTAAGATATTCAAATTCACGATCAACCAGAACTTTGCCTTTTCTAAGTATTTGATTTGGTATATCCAAAGATGATACTTTGCATATCTCTGACATGTTATGCTATGCATTATCAGTGCCCATTTTACCACTAGAAATGGAGTTATTAGTGATTTTAAATCAATTAGTGATTAGAAAGTCAATTAACAAAAACTCAAAGCCAATTCAGAAAACTGACTCTTAATATTCTATTCCCCTAGACTTACTCATGTTACCAAGATCTGTATCAGTTAGGGTCCTACCACAGAAACATAACCAGTGGGAAATATACAAATGTGTATATATAATATGTGTATATATATATATACACACACAGATATATATACACACATGCATATGTGTGTGTCTCTGTGTATGTGTATATGTTTTCAAGGAGTGGATGTATGCTATTGTAGAGACTATGTTTAAAATGTATATGGTGGGCTGGCAATATGGAAACTCTTAGACAGGAAGTAATACTATAGTTTTAAGGCAGAATTTTTTTCTTGTTTAGAAAAACCTTAGTTCTTTTCTTAAGATCTTACAACTGATTGGAGAAGTCCATCTGCTTTCTTTTCTTTTTTTTTTTTTTTGAGAGATTTTCACTGTAGGGTGCGTGCGCTTGCCAGACAGACAGAGAGAGACATAGAGACAGAAAGCGAGAAATCACCCCCCAGGGGGGATGGTCACGCCGCAATCCCTTCTCCTCCATTCTTCTCTCGAGATCTTGGGCACGCACGCACATGTGCCTGGCGTGAGTTTTAAGCCACCGGGTCCGGGACACGAACCACGGTCGACTACGTGGGAGTCCAGCGACATAGCCATTACGCTAACTGCTGATTCCCATCCATCTGCTTTCTTGAGGGTAATCTCTTTTACTTTAAGTCAACTGATTATCGATATTAATCACATTCACAAAATATTTTGCCAGCAATAATGAGATCAGTGTTTTATTGAATGATTGATGTAGCCAAGGTGACCCATAAAATGAACTCTCACGGGGCAGGCGGTGATGCAGTGGTGACAAAACTGAGTCACACGGGGAAGGTTCTGGTTTTATGTCCCAGGACCTTGCTGAACATGCTGGGCTCGTGCTTGCCCCTCATTCGGGCTGGCTGAAGCTGGAGTGGATCATGGCATAAAAGCCCTGTTGGGGGTAACTGTATCTTTGTCTCTCATGGAAGAAATGAGTAAAATGAAAAAAAAAATAGGGAATCAGCAGTTAGCGTAATGACTATGTGGCTGGACTCCCACGTAGTCGACCGCGGTTCGCGTCCCGGACCCGGTGGCTTAAAACTCATGCCGGGCGCATGTGCATGCGTGCCCAAGATCCCGAGAGGAGAATGGAGGAGAAGGGATTACAGCATGACCATCCCCCCTGGGGGGTGATTTCTCGCTTTCTGTCTCTATGTCTCTCTCTCTGACTGGCGAGCGCACATGCCCTATAGCGAAAACCTCTCCAAAAAAAAAAAGAAAAAGAAAAAAAAATAGCACTGCCATGGGGGGGATACACATTCCTTACTGTTACACGTGGGATATTTACCAAGGTATACTATATAGTGAGTCATGAAATAGGTCTTGATGAATTTAAACCCATCCAAGTAATTAAAAACAAAATATCTACTGTACTGAGATCAACAAAAGAGCTCATGGTTTCCTGATCCGTTATCATCTTTGACTTTGGAGGGCTTCCTTTTCTGTTTTTCCAAGTTCAGCTACATGTTTGAAACAGGAATTTTTATATCTATTCAACAATATGAGATGTAATTTTACTAGAGTTTTTTCCATAATAGGAAAACAATCTAGGTAATTTTATTAGGGTCTTTTCCATAAGAGTTTTGGGAATGGAAATCTCCCCTTGGACACCGCATTGTGAACTCTTCCACTCATTAGAAGTGGGAGTGAGTGTCAAAAGACTAGAAGGGCCTGATCTGGATGCATCATTTATTCATAATTGTGTATAAGGAATTTAAAAATCTTGATATGCATGTGTTTATGTAGTTACCGTAGTTGTGAAGACTTTCATAAAAAGATTGATGGTTATTAATTTAAAGAGTTGAATTTTTGTATGATTATCTTACATAAAACCAGGAACCTCCATTCATTGCAGAAAATCTCTTTTCTTAATTTTCTCCTTATTTCTTCTCTAAATTTCCTTTCAGCTTTTTATAATAATTCATCTCTGACAACACACTCGGAATATCCAAAGCAAAAAATGCTTTCTGCTGAAGGTAAAGTGCTCATTTAATCTTAATTGATTTTGTTTGATAGTTGGGGGGAGAGAGTTGGACCAGTAGAAGAAATATTTATTTTATGGTTTGCCTGTGAATAATTTTTTTAAGGCTTTTGTCATAGGGCATGGCATGTGCACTTGCAGGAGAGAGTCGGAGACAGTGATAGGAAAGTGAGAAATCACCCTTCCAGGGGAATGGCAATGACGCAATCCCTCCTCGGTCTCCTCCTGGGATTTTGGGCACACATGCACACACGCCCAGTGTGATTTTCAAGCCACCAGGTCTGGGACTTGAACCATGTTAGACTTGTGGAAGTCCAGCACCTTAACCACTGGTTACCTGCTGGTTCTGTTCTGTGAGTAATTTTCATAGATACTCCTTTCTATACACTGTTGCTTGAGATCATGCAAGGACCTACTTGGCTAATTTAATTCGACAATAATTAAAAAAAAAAAAACAAGATAAGCTATAGATTTCTTACCAACACAGAGAAACATGCTTGGTAAAATAGAAGCTACAAAGGTGAAGAAAATTTATGCTATCTTCAAGTAGTATATATAGTCTAGTCCTGAAGGTGGACTGAGACTCTGGGTATTACATTACAAGGTGCAATAAGAAGATTGCTATAAACAAAACCCATGTATTAGAGTGTGGCTTGTGAGCCTGCCCAGAAGCATGAATGATGAGAAAATAAGGCTGGTGAGTCACTGTGTTCTAAAGTAAAAGGGAGAAAGATACACGAATGTTTGGCCAGTGGAAGCAGCCTGGGGTGGCAGGAGGTTAGTAGGCAGGCTAAAGGCAGAGAGAGGGGAGCCTTGGAAGTCAAGCTGTGGTCGAATAGTGCAAAGTCATTGGAAGGGTAATAATAAGGCCAAAGGCAAACTAAATGGGCTAAAAAAGTAGAAGACCAGGGTTTATTAATAATTCCAAAAACTGTTTTTTTGATGGAAAAAAAGAGTATTCTAAACGGGAATTAAAGGGAAATTACAGGTCAGATAATGGCTCACCAGTAAAATGCAATGCTCTGTGAGGCGATTCCATATGAGAAAGTTCTGGTTCAGGTCTGGAGACCACCCTGAGTATGCTGGGCATGCACTTGCCTATGATCAGGGGCTGGTTAAAGTCTTTCTCTCTCCCTTTTTCTTGAATTCTCTCTCTATCTTTCCCTCTCTTGTGAAATAAATAAATAAGTAAGCTAAAAACAAAAAAGAAAACAGGAATATACAATATATGTCTAGAGAAAATTGATATAAAATAACAAATATAAAATTAACATAATTGCTATTACTAAGATTTGATTTTTAGTACTGAGAATAACCCATATTTCTGCTTAAAAAACAGAAATATATAAGATAACATAAATATAAAGGAGTATTTTGTATAAATCTCTTTTATTAACTTAGAACAATTTGATGTAACAAATTCTCTAGGGAAAACTAAACTACCAGTTGGCTCTAGGAAGAGATAGAAATCATGAATAGATCAATAACCAGAGGAGAAATGGAAAGCTACTGCCAGAAAGTGCATGGCCTCCAACCACTATGTAAGAGAAGTATTTTATGTCCTTAAGCTTTAGAAATATTTTAAAAGAATTATTTTATTTAATTTTATTCATTGTCATTATTTTATTTTATTGAAGTTGACCAGAGAGAGACAGAGAGAGACAGACAGAGAGAGAGAGAGAGAGAAGGAAAGTGAGAAAGCAAGTTGCCAGGTCTGGTACTTGAACCACAGTCAGCCATGTGGGAGTCCAACCACCTTAACCACCATATCACCTGCTGGCTCCAATGTCCTTTAAACTTTTGAGAAAAATATAGTACTTTTGCTGTTTATATTATTGTATGACTTAGACAAAGAAGAAATGTTATGTAAATTTTTATAAACATAGTGCTGATACACAATCCTGACAAAGTTAGCATATAAAAATATTTCTTTGCTAATCTCTCCTATAAATGTATATACTAAGACTCCATGTATAATGTTAGCATATTAAATCTATAGTATTCTTAACAAATAAAACCAAAGACAAAGCAATATTTCCAGAGAGGCAAAATAATTTATATTAAACAACCTCTATATTTTACCTCATTATTTTACTATAGTAGGAAAAAAAATCTCATGAACTATTTAGTATATATCATAATGATGAACTAAAATTCATCAATTCACAACTTAAAAATATCTTAGTGAATTAGTATGAAAGATACACCCATAATTTGATAGAAATTTCCATATACATAAACAATAATCTTATCATGCTTAATGGTGAAACATTGAAATTATAGCCATTAAAGCCAGGAATTAGACAAAAATACCTGCCATTACCATTATGTTATATAATTTTAGACATTAGACAAGAAATATACATGCATGTTCGCACACACACACACACACATATATACATATATATATTGTCTTAGCTGAGGTTACCATAATAAACTATGACAGAAGGTTGTCTTAAACAACAGAAATGCATTTTCTCACAGTTAGGTAGGGTAGAAGCTCATGATTAAAGTTCCAGCCGATACTCGGGTACAGGGAGTGCTCTCTGCTGACTTGGTGGTGATGGCTTCCCTCTAGCGATGTACTCACATGGCCCCTCTTTGTTGCACACACACGGATGGAGAAAGGGAGGGGGCCTCAGGTGTCTTTTTATAAAGACATTAGCCATACTAAGTTAGTGGCTCACTGTACTTCAGGATGACCTAACCTTGACTAATTACATTTAGCATATCCCAATTTTCAAATGTCACCTCTTGAGGTAGTGGGGGTTAGGATTTCTATGTATGAATTTTAGGCTACGCATTTTTAACTCAGAAGAAGTACCAGGATGTACCAATAGCCATGTATTCCATATACATACACAAACACATAGTCATTGCCAGTTTCACTTAAAAAATCCTTGATTAATCAGTAAAATTATCAATTTTACTCAGTCTCTAATGTGAATATACCATCTTTCAAATACTCTATGTGATGAAATTAAGAATACGTGCCATGTAATTTTGTTGCATACCCACCCGTGACTGTAATCTTGAGGAAAAGCACTTGTATCAATTGCATAACTAGCTTCAATTATCTTTTATCCAGGTTTGGTAAAATAGTCAAAAGAAAGAAGGGTTTTATGCAGCTTTAAATAAGACTCAGTTAAAGGAATTGACACATAGAAGTTTTCATCATTTTTCTTCTTTTATTGTGTCCAGTTGATATTCCACTCTTCGTGCTGATGAATTCGAAGGCCGTGCTCTGTTGCCCTCCTGTCTCACGGACGTATATGATAGGGGCGACATGGGAAATAATTCTCAGAGACAAGCCTGCCTGCATAAAAGCCTACAAGGCAGATAGCAATGAGACTAAGGACGTCAACTGTACTGACAGGAGAATAACCTGGGTCTCCAGACCCGATCAGAATCTTAGCCTTCGAATCGATCCAGTGTCCATTACACATGATGGGGATTACAGGTGTGAAGTTGCAGCATTTGAAGGGAATTTCCAGTGTGGTTATCGCCTCCAAGTGCTGGGTAAGGAACATCATGTACTGCAGTATTTCAGATCACCAGATTTGTGACTGAAGCAAATGTCTCTCTAAATTCTGTAACTCTAATGTTAAAACTGAAGTATTTCCCTCCCTTTATCTCTGCAGTGCCCCCTGAAGTGACCCTGGTTCCAAGTAAAAACAGGACTGCAACATGCAAGGCAGCGGGGGGCAAGCCAGCTGCTCAAATCTCCTGGACCCCAGAAGGACACTGCGTCACTAAGCAAGAACTTCTGGACAATGGCACAGTGACTGTCCGGAGCACTTGCCACTGGTCAGACAGCAACGTGTCTGCTGTGACCTGCTCGGTCTCCCACTTGGCTGGCAACAAGACTCTGTCTGAAGAGGTGGGTCCAGGTAAGCGCATTTGTCTTTTAGAAGAGTAAAACTTGGTGCTCAACCTTTCTTCCCTAGAAGGTAGTGAGTAATGAAGCACAAGATAAGAAAATTTAATATGAAGGTATTATTCAAAACTTGGCTGGGAGGAACCGCCATCTTCCAATAATTAACCAAAATGACGAACACAAAGGGAGAGAGGAGAGGCACCCGATATATGTTCTCTAGGCCTTTTAGAAAACATGGAGTTGTTCCTTTGGCGACAAAAATATGCAAAGCTACAAGAAAGGTGATATTGCAGACATTAAGGGAATGGGTGCTGTTCAAAAAGGAATGCCCCACAAATGTTACAATGGCAAAACTGGAAGAGTCTACAATGTTACCCAGCATGCTGTTGACATTGTTGTGAACAAACAAGTTAAGGGCAAGATTCTTGCCAAGAGAATCAATGTGCATATTGAGCATATTAAACATTCTAAGAGCAGAGATAGCTTCCTCAAACGTGTGAAGGAAAATGACCAGAAAAAGAAAGAAGCCAAAGAGAAAGGTACCTGGGTTCAACTAAAGCACCAGCCTGCTCCACCCACAGAAGCACACTTTGTGAGAACCAATGGAAAGGAGCCTGAGCTACTGGAACCTATTCCCTATGAATTCATAATCCATGGTGTATTAAAAAAAAAAAAAAAAACTTGGCTGGGAAATATATTAGTATGCTATAGAAATCATCTGTACTCCATAACCAATAGAAGGAAATAATTCAATAATTTCTTATCAGTATATTCTCTAAATATTCTTTGTGGGCAACATGGTTTCTCATTTGGCAGCAGTGAGACCTTAAACAGTGCTTAATTTTTCTGCCCCATGTTTTCTTCCTGTGTTAAATGAGAATGATGGTACCCACCTGAAAGGCTTATAGTGTTAAATAAATAAAAGTATATGCGTACTTAATACAGTATATATAATTCCATGTAAACTACATAACTCGTACTCAATAAGTATTAGGTATTGCATTTCTTTATATTAATAAATATTAACCATTATATTTACACTAATGAATGTTAGCCATTATATTAATTATATTAGTATATATTAGCTTTTATAATCATTATATACTTATTACTAAAAATTATACTATCCCGTTAGTTATTTCCCATACCTTTTCTCACATGTATTCTTTGTTACTTTAAAATTCTTATTTATTTATTTTTAAGGGATTATTTATTTAATTTAATTTATTTATTATAATAATTATTATTTTTAATTTGATCAGAGAGAGAGAGAGAAAATGAGAAACCAAGCTGCTAGGTCTGGAACTCCAACTGTGGTCAGCTATGTGGCAGTCCAGTGCATTTACCACCACACCAACTGCCAGCCCCAAAATTCTAATTTATTTTTTAAAAGTTTATTCATTTATTCCATGAGTGAGAAAGATAGCGAGAGAGAGAGAGAGATACAGGACAGAGACAGAGATATAGCACTACTGACAGATTCTTGATGACCCAATCCACTCCCAACTTTAGCTTTAGCCAGTCCAGACTGTGAACACAAGGAGGTCTCTGGACATCAAATGGTAACCCTGTGAGTCAACCTTGCTCAGTGTTGTGTTATGTTTTCCCACTGTGCCACCATCAGCACCTTTTAAATTTTACAATAACACTATTGAGATCTAATTTATATAGCATATAATTCATCCACTTAAAGTGCACAATTCCAGGCCAGCAGGTGGCATGGAGATTAAGGAGGCTGGATCCCACATGATTTACTCTGCAGTTTGAGTCCTAGACCTGTTGGCTTGAAAAATCACACAAGGCATGTGTATGTGTGTGCCCAAAACCTTGAGAGGAGAATGGATGTCCTACAATTTAATTAAATTCTGACACTAACTATATGGAATTAGCCCAGACTCCACAGATTAAGTGCTCAATCCCACAAGACTGCCCCAGTTCAGGGGTAGTCACAAGGCCCAGGCTGTCACCTGCACATCTAACCAACTTGTTATATTTTACTTGTTTATTACTTTAAAAATTTTGCCAGAGGGCATGTGTGCTTGCCTAAGAGAGACAGAGAGCAAAGAAAGGGAGAAGGAGAAAGCACTCCCCAGTGGCACATGGTTGTGCCATAATCCCTTCATCTCCATTTCTCCATCCTGTCAGGATTTGGGGCATGCATCTACATGCGCCTGGTGTAACTTTTCAAGCCATTGGGCCAGGATTTGAATTGCTGTCAGCCATTTGGGATCTGGCTCTCTTAGCCAGTAGGCCTTAACCAACTGGTTATAAATCTGGGGGGGTTCCTACAATTCCTCATCCGGCTCAGTAATTTGCTAGTATGGCTCATAATATTCACAAAGGTACTTACTATTACTGGTTTATTATAAAGGAAATGACTCAGGAACAGTTGAATGGAAGAAATGAGTAGAGCAAGGTCTGACAGAAGGGGCATGGAGTTTCCATTACCATCTCTGGGAATGCTTCCCAGGATCTTGGTGTAGTCACTAAACTCTGTCATTTAGGTATTTTCATGAAGGTTTCATTACATAGGCATGATTGATTAAGTCTTTGGACACTGGCAATTAACTCAATCTATGGAGTTGTTCCTTTGGCGACAAAAATATGCAAAGCTACAAGAAAGGTGATATTGCAGACATTAAGGGAATGGGTGCTGTTCAAAAAGGAATGCCCCACAAATGTTACAATGGCAAAACTGGAAGAGTCTACAATGTTACCCAGCATGCTGTTGACATTGTTGTGAACAAACAAGTTAAGGGCAAGATTCTTGCCAAGAGAATCAATGTGCATATTGAGCATATTAAACATTCTAAGAGCAGAGATAGCTTCCTCAAACGTGTGAAGGAAAATGACCAGAAAAAGAAAGAAGCCAAAGAGAAAGGTACCTGGGTTCAACTAAAGCACCAGCCTGCTCCACCCACAGAAGCACACTTTGTGAGAACCAATGGAAAGGAGCCTGAGCTACTGGAACCTATTCCCTATGAATTCATAATCCATGGTCTATTAAAAATAAACTAATCTGTTGTCTATAAACATGTTTGCCTTAATTGAGTAGAATTATGTTCCCTCCCCAAAGCTAATTTTATTGGGCTTTCTCTAAATATTCTTTGTGGGCAACATGGTTTCTCATTTGGCAGCAGTGAGACCTTAAACAGTGCTTAATTTTTCTGCCCCATGTTTTCTTCCTGTGTTAAATGAGAATGATGGTACCCACCTGAAAGGCTTATAGTGTTAAATAAATAAAAGTATATGCGTACTTAATACAGTATATATAAGGCCATGTAAACTACATAACTCGTACTCAATAAGTATTAGGTATTGCATTTCTTTATATTAATAAATATTAACCATTATATTTACACTAATGAATGTTAGCCATTATATTAATTATATTAGTATATATTAGCTTTTATAATCATTATATACTTATTACTAAAAATTATACTATCCCGTTAGTTATTTCTCATACCTTTTCTCACATGTATTCTTTGTTACTTTAAAATTCTTATTTATTTATTTTTAAGGGATTATTTATTTAATTTAATTTATTTATTATAATAATTATTATTTTTAATTTGATCAGAGAGAGAGAGAGAAAATGAGAAACCAAGCTGCTAGGTCTGGAACTCCAACTGTGGTCAGCTATGTGGCAGTCCAGTGCATTTACCACCACACCAACTGCCAGCCCCAAAATTCTAATTTATTTTTTAAAAGTTTATTCATTTATTCCATGAGTGAGAAAGATAGCGAGAGAGAGAGAGAGATACAGGACAGAGACAGAGATATAGCACTACTGACAGATTCTTGATGACCCAATCCACTCCCAACTTTAGCTTTAGCCAGTCCAGACTGTGAACACAAGGAGGTCTCTGGACATCAAATGGTAACCCTGTGAGTCAACCTTGCTCAGTGTTGTGTTATGTTTTCCCACTGTGCCACCATCAGCACCTTTTAAATTTTACAATAACACTATTGAGATCTAATTTATATAGCATATAATTCATCCACTTAAAGTGCACAATTCCAGGCCAGCAGGTGGCATGGAGATTAAGGAGGCTGGATCCCACATGATTTACTCTGCAGTTTGAGTCCTAGACCTGTTGGCTTGAAAAATCACACAAGGCATGTGTATGTGTGTGCCCAAAACCTTGAGAGGAGAATGGATGTCCTACAATTTAATTAAATTCTGACACTAACTATATGGAATTAGCCCAGACTCCACAGATTAAGTGCTCAATCCCACAAGACTGCCCCAGTTCAGGGGTAGTCACAAGGCCCAGGCTGTCACCTGCACATCTAACCAACTTGTTATATTTTACTTGTTTATTACTTTAAAAATTTTGCCAGAGGGCATGTGTGCTTGCCTAAGAGAGACAGAGAGCAAAGAAAGGGAGAAGGAGAAAGCACTCCCCAGTGGCACATGGTTGTGCCATAATCCCTTCATCTCCATTTCTCCATCCTGTCAGGATTTGGGGCATGCATCTACATGCGCCTGGTGTAACTTTTCAAGCCATTGGGCCAGGATTTGAATTGCTGTCAGCCATTTGGGATCTGGCTCTCTTAGCCAGTAGGCCTTAACCAACTGGTTATAAATCTGGGGGGGTTCCTACAATTCCTCATCCGGCTCAGTAATTTGCTAGTATGGCTCATAATATTCACAAAGGTACTTACTATTACTGGTTTATTATAAAGGAAATGACTCAGGAACAGTTGAATGGAAGAAATGAGTAGAGCAAGGTCTGACAGAAGGGGCATGGAGTTTCCATTACCATCTCTGGGAATGCTTCCCAGGATCTTGGTGTAGTCACTAAACTCTGTCATTTAGGTATTTTCATGAAGGTTTCATTACATAGGCATGATTGATTAAGTCTTTGGACACTGGCAATTAACTCAATCTCCAACTTTTACTCCTCTTATCAGTATATTCTCTAAATATTCTTTGTGGGGCAACATGGTTTCTCATTCAGCAGTGGTGAGACCTTAAGCAGTGCTTAATTTTTCTGTCCCATGTTTTCTTCGTGTGTTAAATGGGAATGATAGTATCCACTTGAGAGGCTTATAGTGTTAATTAAATAAAAGTATATGCATACTTAATACAGTATATATAATTCTATGTCAATGACATAATTGGTACTCAATAAATATTAGGTATTGCATTTCTTTATATTAATAAACATTAACTATCACATGTACACTAATGAAAGTTAGCCATTATACTAATATACATTAGCTCTTATAATCATTATTATATTTATAATTAAAAATTACACTATCCCAGTGGAGTGGTGGGGCAGTGTTGTGGGGCTAAAAATTCTAGTGACCAACCTCTATCCTGAGGTTCTCCAGGGGCTCCTGGTCACTGGTTATCTCATTAGCATACAAAAGACACTTTTATCACCATCTAGCTTCCAAGGATTTTAGGAGAAACTCTTGGAACTGTGTCAGAAACTGAGGAACAAAGATTAAATATGTATTTCTTCATATTCACAGCCCCTACTTCTCTGACTCCTAATACAATGTAAGCTCCTCAAGAGTAGGAGCCGCTTCTTTTATTTCAATATCCTCAAGGTCTGCCACAGTACCTGACAGATAAAAAGAACTGCAGAATTAAGTTCAGATCATCACAAACTCCATCACTCTCTTCTTTTTTTAAAGAGATATTTTTGCTATAGGGTGTGTGCACTCTCTGGAGAGACAGAAATCATCCCCCAGGGGTGATGGCCACACTATAATCCCTTCTCCTTTTGGGATTTTGAGCATGCATGCACATGCACCCTGAGTGATTTTAAGCTGCTGGGTTCAGGACTCAATCCGTGGTCAACTACATGGGAGTCCAATGACCTAACCATTCTGCCATCTGCTGGTCCTCTCACTGTGTTCTAATTTTGATTTAAATTAATTGTGAGATATTTCCTGAAGTTGTTTCTTTCCCTTGAAAAGTTCTTCCTTCCTTTTCCTAACCTATGCTTGCAGACCAATAAGGCTTAGCTCAAATCGCAGTTCTCTCCAGCCTCCCAGTTAGAGTTGATTAACCTTCCTTATTCTTTAGATGACATATAATCTGTAATTCTTAGCACTGTTTGCTTTTATATGAGTAATCTTATCATTTGAATGGATCTGATTTCTCTTATTGAGTTGTGAGCCTTTAGGGGACTGACACCATGTTGTTTTCTTATTCTCTCACAATTCCTGAGAGATTGCCTGACATTCTTTATATATATATATATATATATATATATATATATACACACACACACACACACACACAAGAGAGGCAGAGACAAAAAGCAAAAAATCATCCCCAGGTGGGATGGTCATACCACAATCCCTTCTTCTCCATTCTCCTCTTGGGAATTTGGCCATGCATACATACCCAGCATGAGTTTTAATCCACTGGGTCTGGGAATCGAACTGTGGCCAACTACGTGGGAGTCCAGTGACATAATCATTATGCCATTTGCTGGTCTCCATCACTTTACATCTTTCAGCACACAAAAGAGATTTTCCACGAATTAATACAATGTATATATTACTCCAGTCAAAGATACTACATTATCATCAGCAATTTTC